TCAGGAATCCTCATTCGAGGAGAGCTGTATGCGCAGTTGTTGCACTTACCGACAAAAGCATATCCCGACTCACTCAGATGCCACCCTTCACCATCTCAGCACTCACTGCCGTGTCCCCTCTCGATCACCCAACTCGCCGGTCATACGGTTAGTCCTCATCACTCTCATCACTGCCCATAGCACGACCGGTCAGCTCCCCCAGCCGAGCTTCAGCATACTCGGCAAACTGTTCGTACGTCACATAGAGCTCGCCGTTCAGCATGTGCCGCTGCAGGTCATTCTCAACCACCACCACTGTAGTGCTAGAGGTAGTGCTCGTAGGGACCATCGCACTGCCCAACAGCTGCTGGGTGTCCTCTAAGGCCTCTTCGTCCAGGATCGACTGGGCCTCCATTAGCTCCATGAGGACTTGCCCGCCTATCGCCACGACTTCTCCTTCCGAGATGCGGCCTGCTCTCCACCTGGCATACAGGCACTCATAGTCCTTGAAGTCAATCGCCTGAATCCCCGTCGACTGCATGATCCCCGTGTCGTCGAGCTGCGTCTCTTCCTCATGTTGTAGCATCTCTGGCAGGCCTTTATCCTCCCGTTGGGCACCCTCCAGTTCGTCCGCGACTGTCGCCTCAGCTTCATTGGTATCAACCGGCCTCTGCGAAGTGTGCTCCACGACGCCAGGGAGCTCACTTTTAGCCGGCACGGGGTGCTCCTCCGGTAATTACAGGTCGTGCCGGCACCGTGTCAACATCGTCAGGGAGCTGCTCCCATTCCACTCGCATGTCCATCCTCAAACTCGGCAGCTCCCCTGACCTGCCACAAGGCAACCTGATCGTCCTCGACACCCATGGGCTACCTTCACTGGCTGCCCCGCCGACTTCGAGGACCAAGCTAGCCCTTCGGCGTTTTTGTGGCGGACTCTGCATCAGCTGATGCCACTCCCAATCCTCCCATTGCTTGTACTTTTGTGCATCCAGTCGTCCAGCTGTGTCTCCATGTTCATCACGAAGGCCTGCCTGGTAAGCCACAAAGCCCGCTTCATACTCTTCCTGTGCCTCCTGTTGACTAGCACGCAGGGACTGCTCATGTTGGGCTTCCCGCCGTGCTTCTGCTTCATCTGCCGCTAACTCCTCAATGAGCTTGTCCGTCATCGGCACGAGAGGCATGTCCTGGGTCATGTGGGGCATCGCCTCAGTCGAGCCCACCACATAAGTTGCCACGACAGGTCTCCGGCCACGATCTCATCACAGGAAGGTTCCTG